TTCTCAGATGTACGTTTAATATCTAGTTTAAATTCAGTGAACAATTCTATTTACAGAAAGATGGTGCAGCAATGTGGTCTGCTACTGGTCCATTCCTAGCCGACTCCTTCATGGAGAGTCTCGAAAACAATATCCTCGATCCTTTGATAAGTCAACTGCACTTATACAGGAGATACGTAAATGATAAGTTAATAATTTGCGATGAAAAATCTGATTTAGATTATCTCCTTAAAACTTTCAACGCAGCGCACCCATTAATAAGATTCACTTTAGAACGTGAATCGAACATCCCATTTCCATTCCTCGATGAACTAAGTACCAGAATACACGACTGTGCTTTCCAAAGATCGATATATCGCAAGCCAACATGGACAGGACAATTTATCAACTTCCAGAGCTTCGTCCCATTGATCCGAAAGCACAACCTGGTAAGTCCATTAAGTTCAAGGATTAGAAAAATCTGTTCGGGAGACATGATAGAGAAAGAATTAAATTTATTACGTGAAACCCTACTAGAGAACGGGTATCCACCAAGGTTCATAGATAAAAAAATGAAAGAGAAGCCTCCGCCGCCAAACATCGGAATTGTTCCTAGGAAAACTGTCTTCATGAACCTGGAATTCAAAGGTGACATCGCAGCGGAAATTCTCAGAAACCGCCTTTCTAAATGTCTGAAGAAGACATTTGCAACATCTACCTTACGTATCACATTCCCCAGCAGACAGTTAATCCAGTCTAACGTTAAGGATAAAATACCTCTTTTGGCCACTTCAATGTGTATTTATCAACTTACTTGCTCGTGTGGAGCAAAGTATATTGGCGTATGCAACGTCAAGTCTTGAAACGCATTCTGGAACACTGTCCAGCATGTCTAGCCAGCCAGAGGAGAAAAGAAGAATAGCAGCAGCTCTGTCCTCGAACACTTCGTCAACTCTGGCCACCCACGCATGACTACCTCACAGTGCTACACAGAGTTCCTCAGTATCGTACAAAGGGACTTCGCATACGCCATCTGTACATAACTGAATAATAAGCTATTCGGAATCTGAAACCGGACCTCTGCATTCAGTAGCACTACACACATTTACTTTCCCTACCGTGGACAGAGTAACGTTTTCAGTATAATTTTGCTCCCTTTTATTATGTAAGTTTATTATCATTATTCTCATCATCCCTATTTTATTATCACCCTACTACTGTTTATTACTAATAACATTGATGCTCACTAATGACTTGCTAAGGGACGGAGTTTCCTGAAGTTCTAGTGAGAAGTCGTGACCAGTGAGGTCCATCAAGTGAAGTGTATGAGGATGGAGTTCTCACCGAGGACGTTGACTGGTGGTCGCGCTAAATCACGAAGTGGTTGAAGTTAGAATTCATGGGCTGGTCATTGAATCAGGTCCCAGTGGCTGAATGGTATACGAGGTAGCTTGTCTTGTAACCGGAAGGTCCTGGGTTCGAAACCCGCGTGGTGGATGCGTACTGTCGATGATTCCCAAAACTAGGATGAAACCGCTGTCCAGTACTCCCTGGTTTTCAGTGGTCCTCTAACTGATGTCAATCCGTGGTCAAACCCGTAAATACAGATTTTAGTAAAATGCAACTTATCGTCTTTCCACTAATTTTTGTTCAATTTACACACACATTAATTGTCCATTTTATCACATTATGTCATCCTAACTTCTACCCCGTATTTCGAAACTCCAACTAGTCATCCTCTTCTAGATTATACCTTACATTATGTAATACATTTTCTACAACAAGTTTACAAGTATCTGACCGAGCTTATAAATTCTTTGTCAAATATAATTGCGATTGTACAGCTTATCAAAATCAATCGTAGAGAATATTGTCTTCTCTGTGTACGTCTTTTCCTTATGATTCAAAAAGAGGATATTCCGTTCATTCAAGAATTCCAATGATCATATGACAGTGAAGGAATTGGATTAATTCCTGCATTTCTCTGTCAAGCTTGTTAAAGTTAACACGGGACGTTGTTGTGGTTGGAATGCGATAAATAACTTTAGAAGCTTTATTAATATAAATTTTAGTGCTCACTGCCTACGAAGTATACTACTGCAGAGTTATGAATAGATCTTGTTCGTCCGTTGCTTAACCATACAGGAGTATATTCGGAAATCCGATGCTGAAGCTGCCTAATTGTACTGCCAATGTAACTAGCCCCATAGGAGCAGTCAAAACTGGTAGATACGCATACAGGAGACAACGTCAGGCTGTTAATGAAATGTAACTATACACGCTTTGCAGTACGCCATCGTGCCTTTGTCATCTTTTAAAATCTTGGTTTTTTGTCTAAACGGTGTTCATATTTCTCTTTGTGGATTTTTAGGACTTTCCATGTCACCTACTTTTGTAATTTAAATGTTATTTCCGTCCATATTGTGAGCTTCTGTCTTTTTTTCTCAAGAATATTTATCTCATAATCCCAGTAATATTCAATTCTGATAACAGTTAATTATTTTATCCACTATTATAAATTCAGCTATATATATTCCCGTATGTCACTCGCGATTTCCTATTTAAAAATCTTAGCCAGCTTGATGAAAGTATTTTCAAATCTCAATAAAGAAAGAAAGATCAGATTCGAAGTACAAAATGATATCGTAATTCTACTTCACAGGTTATTATCAGCTGTAAACCAGGTGAAATTACAATAGTTATAAAAGAATGATAATGACATACTTCAATGGCTGAAAGTTATCAGTGAAAAGATGACAGTTTCCTTCCTATAAGCTATAAGCGTGGATCAGTAAGGACACTGTATGGTACAGCCAGGAAGTTATGTTCAGCGAACAAGCTAGAGGAAGATTTAGACTTTTTTGAGAAACGCCTAAGGGAAAATGGGTATCCAAAGGTACTTATCCAAAAGCATAGCAAGGAAACGGACAAGAAAACGAAACATCCAACTGTTGACAAGAAGGAAGTGTAAATTTATCTCCCTTTGAAAGGAAAAGCAGTATCACAGACGATTAACAAGAGAATGAAAGCAGAAGTAAAAAGATGCTTCCCGGCAGCTAAGCTCATAACACTGCACAGCGTCCCATGCTCTATAAGTGAGTCCAGACTGGATAAAGACCCTGCTGATGTCATCTCCAACTGCGTTTATAAACTTAACTACGCTTGCCAGAGCAGACACATTGAAAGAACATGAAGAATGGCTTCCATCCAGTTTTCAGGGAATATCCCAAAGAACTTATGCTTAGAAGGTAGCATATATTCAAAAAGTGCAACTACCAGATACCTTGTAGACATAAGTCATTCCGTTGAGACTTCTAAATCCTTCAAAATATTAAACACAAAAATGATAGGAAATTTACTATGATTTGCTTAAGCAATTACAATCAAACCATTCTCATGCATACAGAAAGGCAGTGTAGTCTATCTGTCACTCCCTTGGTAAATGCATTTTGATTACATTGACTAGTCAACTGTATTACCTATAGTTTGGTTTTTAAGGGTTAGTTATGTTTTTACGAGTTGATCACGGACCATGGGCTTAATGGTCTACGAGGTCGCTCGCCTTGTAACCAGAAGATCCTGGGTTCGAACCATGTCGGCGACTGCGTATTGATGATGCAGACGATATAGTCCTTCTATGCGAGGACGCTGACAAATTGCAGAGTCTACTGAACACCTTGAGCAACAATCTTCGTATGTTTGGCATGCGATTCGCCCCTGTAAAATGTAAGATGATGCTGCAGGATTGGACTTCACCGACCCCTAGATTAGATATAGGAAGTGAAGTGGTAGATCACGTTGACCGCTTCACTTACTTGCGAAGTACCATCAGCCCCAACGGGTTGATCTCTGACGAAATCTCAGCACGGATACAGAGGGCTAGTTTCGCATATGCCAGTTTACGCCGTCTCTGGCTTATTAGACGTGATATCCGCCTATCAATCAAAGTGCGGGTGTACTGCTCAGCAGTCTGCTCCTCCTTTATGGCTGTGAGACCTGGCCATTGAGAGATGAAGACATGAAAAGATTAGCTGTCTTCGATCATAGGTGTCTGCGTTCTATCTCCCGTGTGAAGTGGTATAATAAGGTGAGCAATATTGAGGTTAGGCCTCAGTCGAGTACTAGGTAAGGCGGGGAAATCAATCGACGAGGCTGTGAAATTACATCGACTGAGATGGATAAGACATGTGTTACGTATGCCTAGTCATCGCCTTCCTCGACAATGGGCAATGTTAACTGACATAGGGTCAATCTGGAAAAGAGCTAGTGGCGGTCAAACGAAAACATGGCACAAGTCAATGAAATCTACAACATTTAGTCTAGGCCACGTAGGAAGGTGTACACTTCGTGGTTGGGGTCATCGGGATGGTAAAAACCAGTGGTTGGAAACAATTGGTGGCATGGCTGAAAATCCTTCTCAATTGCTGGTGCAGATGCATCCACTCCTTGTGACTTATGATTTTTAATGAAACTGTTTTGTTCTTCGCTATTACTATTCCTTTGTCTCATGCCTCTGTTTACTGTCTATATTATACATTTCTCCTACTTTGTTCTCTTGCTTTGTGTGCTACATGGAGTGTGGCGACTTAAACTGCCGCACACCGGTGCAAAGTTCTATATCGAAAACCGACCGACCGACCGATTGATGAAAAGTCTCACACTAGGACGAAACAGCCGTCCACTACTCCCAGCTGGTTTTCCAATGGCTCTCTAGCTGATGTCAGTCCACGATGAAATCCTGTAACCATCTTCCAGGTTATTCACAAAGAAAGAAAGAAAAGAGACAGTGTTATTATATATCAAAAATAATTTTGTTTTTATTTCACAGATTTACCCATTCCACATGTTTCTTCAAATAGGATATCACACACACACACACACACTGATTCAGTTTAGGCGTCAATAAAAAATATGTAAGCTGCAATGTAACCGATTTGTAAAACCCTAATATATGTCACTGTATATCATATATATATATATATATATTGGTATGTTTAGTTTTGAAAGTTTTCTGATAAAGATTATGTCATTGTAACGCTTTCAGACTGCATACACTTCTCTTTGAGGTGATCAGCCGACTTTACTTTAGACAAGGAGTTCACACTGATACGCTGATCTGTCGTATCAGTATCCGAAGTCTTTTTGCTTGCACTACTGTGTTCATCCGCATTCTCAACACTGTTTTTATTGGTTACACTTCTGCCAACATTGCTTGATGCACGTGAAATATGCGTATTAGTTGAAGGCATACCAGTGGGAAAACTTTTCGCAGAGATAAATGCATTCCGTATACCTCTAAAATCGATAACAGAATGTCGACCAAATTTATTCGATATTTGATAGTCTTCACGTTCTTTACTTATTTCTAATGCTGTTAAATACAAATCGGATCGGAGAAATCGTCGATAAGAGTCTTTTTCCATTAAAGATTGAATTCTTCGTTGACACTGATCAAAGGTATTTTTGTTAGCTGTTTCAAGATCCTTTTCAGTCTGAAGTCGTGTATTTGAATCTAAATTAACCTGAAATAATAAAAAAAGAAATACAAAAATATATTCATTGTAGAATTTATAATTAACTGTATTATGAAGTTAAAATGTGATTAGCTTTCATTTCTGTCAGTAGACAGTCTGAGAAAACTGCTAATATAATTTGTTTTGGCGAGTTGATCACGGATTGATATCAGTTAGAGAACCACTGAAAGCCAGCACTTGAGCACTGGACAGCTGTTTCACCCTAGCTTTTGAGAATCATCGACAGTACGCACCCACCACAAGGGTTCAAATACAGGATCTTCCGATTACAACGCAGGCTAGCTCGTATACCATTCAGCCACTGGGACCCGATTGAATGGGCAGCCCATGAATTCTAACTTCTACCAATTCGTGATTTTAGTGGTACCACCAACCAGTGTCATCGGTGGGACATCCATCCCCACACACTTGACTGGATGGACCTCACTGGTCAAGACTTCTCACTAGAACTTCAGGAAACTCCGTCCTGTAGCAAGTCACTAGCCAACATCAGATTAATTTTCAACTCGTCAAAACAAATCTAATCCTTACATACCAACTATTGAAAACTGATATAATTGTTTGTTAAATGTTTAAAACTGTGATAATTCACAGATGGCGGGTAAGTTGTTCCATGTCAGGATGGCGTTCAGGTCCATTAATGATACAAATTGGCAGTAAAGCTGTTTCATAAAGCGACAAAAGTAAGAATTAATGAGCTGCTGAATTCTAGTAATCCACTGACTCGAATTCTGAAACAATCAATATATTCGGACTACCTTCTGTCATCACACACAAACACTGTATAGTAAAGGTCTAGTTTTTCCGACTTACTCCAGAAGCTTCCAAGATCATAATAAACCACGAACAAAATACTCTGTGAGACAACTTTGTGTAGATGTTTAATCACTTCATCGCTTTCAAGAAGACCTGCATCTATGAGAGGGGTAATCAGATATGAAGTGGAAACTTTGGAGTGTAATGGGTTTCTTGGTGCGTAGATAAATTGGACGGAAGGTGTATGTCTGTGAATTGCTTCTAGCCTGCATAAAAGTCTGATATTTCAATGATCTTCATTGAACATGGGCTCTGAAACCTTGAAGAAGCAAATTTTTTTACAGTGATCCTACCTCGCGATACTTACGCAGGATAACCTGTCTTTTCAGAAAGGTTCAGTTCAAAGTATTCATGAGTTTTGTGTGGTCCAACACGGTGATACGTTTCATGAATTTTCTGTGTCCATGTTAACTGTAACACGGTTAGAAGCGATCGGAAGGGAGCGGTGCTTCAAAGAACTGGTTTCCCCTCTGGTATTCGAAGCCATATCACCCAGTGCTACCATCTGAGTCGAGTTAGGTCTCCCGTAAGACTGGAATGTATGCACTAGTTGCTCCTTAATCCGTTATGTTGATGCTGACCGAAATTCATCAGTCAGATCTGAAGCGTGGTCATCACATAACACCACTTTAAAGTATACGACGACGGTGAATCACCTGCCTTCGTCACTAAATTAGAAAGTTAGACGGTAGAATTCAGCCAACGTTAGTAACTAGACACGTAATACTGGCTACTTCCAAGTGGCTAGTCAGTCTAAATTTAAATGGTTTAATCTTCTTCAAAAGCATATGTTTAGCTGAGAACTTTATTTCATAGTCACCGTATCAAGGAGTGAAGTATACTTAGAGTAAACCTTGGTTCCTTCGGAAGGTTTGTAAATTCTAAGTGTTATTAACCACTTGTAAGCGGTTGTCATAATTTCCCCGATGGTCCTATGTTTTTGTGGCTGGATGGTTTGCTTGTGTGAATATGTCACCTTCTGAGCAGTTATCTTCTCTGATAACGTCAGGCTGAAACCTTGTACTTAAACTGCTTACGTCACGGGACGCATTTAACTACAAATCTCCAACATAATTTATGGCTTTACCATAATATCCACTTTCATTATGGATTCTAAAGGTGGAATTGAGATCTAAAAATGATTTATTGAAATCAAAACAAGATTTTGAGCGGACAATTGTTTTCGATAACTTCTTCTTCAGGCTCTACAGTTATAAATCCATGAATAGTAATAGAGTACATATAGCTAATAAAGGCAAATGAAAATAATATCAGAAACTGTATTCGGGTGCATGTGTAAGTTGAGATGATAGTCCATTATATTAAATATTCCCATAGTAAAATTTAGAACAACACATTTAAGAGAACAATATTGTTTTCAATTAGATCTCATCAGGCCAAATTAACTCTAATATACATAAGTTTACAAATAAAAATTCAAATATAAACCAATCATGGTGTTTTGTCTATAGGATAATACGATGGTGAATATAAACTGTGCAATTAGTCATAACAGTAGTAATGATAATGATAATAATAGTAATAATAAAAATGATCTTATCAATAATAAGGATGGAAAAGTGAGGCAATCTGTGATAACACGAATAATGAAAAACAGCATGATTAAACAAACAACTGTTCAGGTGGAAGTAGTCGATAAAGGCTAGTAAAAACAAATGAACCGATTCAGTAATGTTAGATTGTAAGGGAAGGAAATGAAACACGTTTATAATGAAGATAAGATTAAGGGATGATAAGAAAGGGGTTGAAAATGTAAACAAACAAAGGGTGGTGTACAAGTCATTAGTTGGTCATGTCTTAATAGGCCAAGGGAGGGATAATGGCTGTACGAACTTTTTTGAATACATAGTTTAGGTTTAATAGTTCGAATGCCTATCGCCTCAGCTGCGTGCAGTAAACGAATACGAAGTCAATAGGTTTCCAGGCCGTAGGTGTTACGAGCTTCCTGGAATAATTTGAGCGCCGCGTCAGATTGATTCATTATAAATTATTTCAATTAATCCCAGCTTGTTTTGATTTTCTTAACATGTTGGGATGAATTTAAATAATTTATCATGGATACGAAGTCTATTGGAAAGATTCGGTGGTCCATTAGTTAACATGGTCAATCAAATGTGTATAGGGTGTATAGTCAGAAAAATGTGATGAAGTGTGAATGAACAATTGGGTGATATAGTGCTGTTTTATAGTCAACAGAATACAAGTGTCATTGGGGTGAGAGAAATACGATAGACACAAAATACACACGAACACACATTAACAAAGGGTCCACTGAATGTGAGGGCTGACCGATAATGTCTAATGATAAAATAAAGAGGCTAAATTGTAAATTATAATAAGATGTTACAGAGTTGGTAGGCTTAGTATAAAATCACAAAGGCTGACAAAATTAAGGGTAAAAATGAGGGGAAATAAGCTGGGTGGAGAAATGGATAATAAAGAAATGATATTACAAAATGATAATAATGGTAATAATAATACGAAAAATTACTATCCTGGTGACCTCATAGTGGGCCAGGGTAGATAGAGAGAGTGAATAAGTTTTTTCTGTACACATAAGTCTGGTCTTTCTCTATTAATCTCTAAAGCCTCAGCTATGGCTAGGAGGCGTAATCGTGTGCCTTTGGGAAGACTGTTCGGTACTCGATACACAACTGTAAATGACTCATCTACTTTGATGCTGTGTTCGCTATCCACTAGATGCGCCAGAATTGCACTATTTAATGATTTGGTTGCTCTTTTCCCAAGCCAGACCGGGATATGTTCCCGAGTGCGTAAAGATAAATTCCTTTGGGTACGACCTATATAACTAGCTCCACAGGAGCAGTTGAATTTATATATACACATGACTTATTGACTTGGTAGGTTGGTTTCTACTCGAATAATGGTTATTAAGATCCATGTTTAACTGTATTTTGGTCACTACTCTGTCAAATTTAAACTACTTACGATAATCAAACTTATATTTACTTTATTTCTTCAGTCAAAGTCGTTTCGTTACTTGTCTGTGCGTAGCGAATTCATTTATGTCATGTCATTTGACAGCTAAAATGGTTTTTGAATAAAGCAACAACAGCAGTATGCCCAGCATTGGATGGTATCATCGTTTATTCCGTTGGTTTCGCAGCAGTTGCGTAAGGCCTAAAATAGTTATTAAGTTTATGTATGGAAAACTTATTACCTATCTGAAAATGTAACATAATGTCAGTTGGCACAAGACTGCAAACTTAATAAACAGTCTGAATAGCAGTAAACAAGCACTGTCTTACACATAGCCAAGAGAATATGCTTTACCGAGAAATTAGAGAGAGGATTTCTGTCTCTTGAAAAGGCGTTGAAAAACAACGGTTACCTCAGATATCCACTGAGAAATGGGGAAGATATGAAGATCCAAATTCCACTCTTTGGATAAGAATCCTATCCTCGATTGGATTGACTTAAAAGGTGACACAGTTGCAGGAATGGCCGCCAGTAGATTGTAAACATCACTAACTAGAGCTAATCTGGCAGCATAGTTGGTCCCCGTTAATTGGACAACATCCTTTTTGGTGCAATCAAAAGTCGATAGATGCCCTTCTCAAGTTAACTCTAACTGCGTATTCAAATTTGCATGTTTTTAAGAGTTTGGTTTCTAAGGATTAGATTTGCTTATACGAGTTTGATCACGGATTGATATCAGTTAGAGAGCTACTGAAAACAAGCGCTGGACAGCTGTTTCATCCTAGTTTTTGGGAATCATCGACAGTACGCACTCACAACCAGGGTTCCATCACAAGACCTTCTGATTACAATGCAAGCTACCTCGTATAACATTCAGCCACCGGGACCCAATTCAATGGCCAGTCCATGAATTCTAACTTCTACTAATTCGTGACTTTAGCGTGACCACCAACCAATGTCATCGGTGGGACATGCCTCCTCACACTTCTGACTAGAACTCAAGGAAACTCTGTCCTGTCGTCAGTCACTAGCGAGCACCAGATTAATCTTCTATAGTTTGGTTTTCAATGGTTCTCTTACTGATGTCGATCCGTGGGCGAACTCGTATAAATCTACACGTATCTGAAGAAGCAGTTACATTTCGAGAACAGAAAGAAGGACACACCTCTGTTGTTCTGAAGATGTACCAAAAAGCCAACATCTCAAGTCAA